AACAGTCTTATGTAGTAGAGATTTTACCCTTAACATCATAACATGCACTACAACTAATGCATGGTTTATGTTTAACTAATGCATGATTTATGTTCTCGTGGGACATCTTTGATCATCAGCCTCCAATTACAGGTTGCAGTTCACATGGATTGCCACAAATGTGTTAAAGAATCTGCTGGTCATTGGTACTGTGAATTGTGTGTGGAATCTATTGGTTCTTTCAATTTTTGGGATAAACCATAATCTAAAATAAAGTACAAACTACACTAAACTAAATTACACTAGGTTCAGGTTCAGTATATAAATCTTCAATAATCAACATTTCGAAATAATCGGAGTAAAAATTGATCAAACATCGCTGAACCAGTTGGAAGGAAAGTATCTGTATGCTTTAGTGCATTTAGTTTTTTATATATCTAATGTTGCATTTATTTTTAGTAACTATAAATATATTGAAAATTAATCATCGAAGGGGCTCAAATTAATAGAAAACCCAGGACATGCATAACACCAATTACACAAGTTTCTAACATAGGAAATGCCATTTTTCTTAAGGAGGTATCATAAGGCTTCATCTCTCAACAGCAAAACTTTGAGGAGAATATATGTTTTTGTTAACGTAGTTTATTACTGAAGTTGATTGTGGTATGCCGGTATCATGATCATCGATCTTTTTTCTTTATCAAGTATTGAGTGCAACACATGAATTGGTTTATGATTCACACTACAGGAGTATACTATGGATCTAGATGCATCAGCCTTAGTACACACCCACCTTTGCCTCAACCAACCGGTTGCACTAGGTGGGGTGTTAAATGATGTTGATATCTTTCAACAAACACTGGTGGAGTTAGAACAAAACCATCCACAACTTTGATTCTTGGTTACTAATCTTTCAAATACAAGAGATAGAGTGAATGGTAGGTGTAAGAGGTTGTGTCATCCGAAGTAAGAGTCACTAATGCGCAAAATAATCTAGTGGGAATTAGCAGGGAATTAATATGAGTTCAAGTGGAGTAGATGAATAGAACCAAGGTCAATGTTCATAATGACTGAATACATGAGGAGTAAGAGATGGAAGCTTGTCATTTGCCGCGTTATGCATTCATAGTGTCGCCTTTAAAGGGATATCATAGAAGTATAAAGAATCAATAAGATTTTTTTTGAATAAAGAAAGAGAGTGAAAGATTGCATCATTTCTTGGGAGAGAAGTTACTCTTTATTGTCTCACCAACTTATGTAAGTATCTTTGTTGAATATCTTCTGAATAATAGTTCTATCCAATACAAGTACACTATTCGACATAGCACTCCTCAAAAATACAATCTCAAAGAAAGAGCCACTTATGTCCAATCATGAACTTGATGACAATCATTGGTGTCACTCTTGGTTTTAATCGAAGGCACGTCTAGGATCGGAGCTGTGCGAGTACAAATTGTGTACATAAACGATAAAAATATAGATATGTGCTCATTCATAAAAATGTCTTCTAAATATTGTTGTTGTTAACAAATCAACAAACAAAATAATACTTCTAAACATTTTTTCATTTTTTCTACAAATATTGATTAAATTTCGAAATCAATATTTAAAAGTTTCTTTTCCAATAGACAATACAGTTAAGCCACTTAATTTTTCTTGTGATATATTTGAATGTGTATAAGATTTTATCAATTTTAATTTTGAAAATTTATTTCCAACAAATGCAATCGAAAATAACATTGTTCTATCAATATATAAAATTATGATCATTATTCACGATTAGATAAACCATATACAACTGTTCAAACAAATAAAACTATATAATAAATTAATTAGAAAGAGATTAATTATAATGACTGATGAAAAAGGTGAAATTAAAATTTTGTCAATAGTAAGATATTTAATTTCTGAAAGTGATCATAGCAGAAAATATGGTAAATTGATGATTTATTTATTTATGTGGGCAATTATGGTTATTAATTGACAGATATATCACTAAAGTAATAGGTTTATGTCGACAACGAATTCTCAATTTGGGCCGTAAGGCATACATGTATATTCACAAGTTTAGGCTTGTGAAGTTCGTTTAGTCGTATAGAACAACACAAATGGTTACCTACTTTGATGGTGTGTGCGTGTGGTGGATTGATAGCGAATACAAAGCTAATCAAATAAAATAAATCTCAAAACAAACGTACTACACGGCTTATGAAGCATATTAGTTAATATATTAAGTGTCTCTACTCTTTTTTTTTTATCAAAAAAAGAAGAAGAGTAGAGACACTTAATAATATAATATAAGTTAATATTATTAAGTGTCTCTACTCTAAAGAATAGAAAATCAGATTAAATTGCTTTTTAACTAATAGTACTAGTGTGTGGCTGGCCATGAACCAACACCTGAATAGCCACCAAAGGACAACGCAGTCAAATGACTAATGCACCGAGGAAGAACCTAGCCATGCGACAGTCCAAGTTCAAGTTTAACTGGCGCGGGGCCCATCTTATATATTAAAAGAGAAGTCATGACTTCACTTCATGTGTGATATTTTAAAATGGACCATCTAATAGAATTAATGACATTACATTATTCAATCATTAATAACATTCATTAGATTCATTAATAACATTTATTGGGTTTACTAGAAATTTTTATTGGGCTAATAAAAAGTAGATGATTCATTGGATTTATAGATATTATAATAAAATACATGTTTAAATTAAACTTATATAATTTAATATTGTAATAGTATAAGTTAATATTTATATATTTTTGATGTTAACTTTAAAAATTGTATAGTTTATTTTTAAAAATAATAAAATCATCATTTCCTAACAATAATTAATCTATACTATATAATAATTAATCATCATTTTCGATATACACACCTTATGTAATATATACCAATTTAGAAGTAAAAAAAAAATGTTTATATAAAAATAAATGAAAACAAATACCCGCGCAGTTGCGCGGGTTGAGATCTAGTTATGTTCTTAAAAGTCAACTCATTCCCAAAGAGATCGCTGCATTCTTTTGACCTTTTCACTTTTCTTGATTTAGAGCCCCTGGCATTTTTGGTAACAACGACTTCGATCTAGCTGCTTCGGTGTTGTTTTTGGTTTCATTTTCATAACTTGTCATTATCACTTCATATGATTTTTTGTTTTCTGGAAAAAAGGAAGAATATCATAATCACGATCTTTATCATTTCATATGTTTTTTTGTTTCCACAAAAGGAGAAATATCATAATCACGATCTTTATCTCTTATAAAAGTTTATAAGTTTATTTCAATTAAAATATCTTAAACTACAAAAATCTAGATCGATTTGTCTGTTTATCCTCATTGAAATACGTTTCTCTTCCACTCCTAATTCTTTGTACTTTTCCAAGGAATTTTCCACAGCTTCAAATAATATATATTTTCTCGGAAAATTCACCTATTTCTGTATACTTTGGGTTTCTTATTGATATTTTAAGAAATTAGCGAACCTCGACAAATTCGTGTTTGCTGATTTCAACATACAATTACAAAGGGAGTTGTATGAGCTCTCATCTCTCTCTCGAGAGAGAATTTTCTTCTTTTTCTTTTTTCTTTTCTTTCGGCTAGAAAACATTATTTTGCTTAAAGAAATAAATAAAAACATGTGAAAGATATTTGGAGGAAGAGGCTGACAAAACGAGATCAATTCTTCTGCTTTCCCAGGTATGTAATGCTAGCTTTAGAACCCATTTATAGAATATACGTGCGTATATGTCCCAATCATATATATAGTTGTTTAATGTTAAAGCTTAATCATAGTTTTAATCAGTTTCTTTTTCAATAGTGCTTTTGTGTGATACCTGGATATCACCAATATTAAGATATTTATATAAATCTTTTTTTTAAATGAGATATTTATATAAATCAAAAACGCCACTTAGAAAATTATTTGTTTGTTGAAAACTAATGAGAGCAGACAAAGTGTTTAAGATAATCCAGCCACTCCGTCACCTTGCGGCTTCCGCAAAAGACTTTCGTCCAGAAACTGACAATTAAATTTCAAGTAGTTATTGTTTAATATACATGTATATGTTTTCCTCAATTCTAAATAAAACTGATACGAAATTGACATAGCAGCTACATAGTTTGAGTCTGGACATGATGCTGAGTCCACATTAGAAGCTTAGAACATTAAAAATAAATATATACTAGATTTTGATCCGCGCAACCGTGCGGGTGTTTATTTTCATTTTAATATATGTATGAAGTTGTTGACCACTTAAAAATCTGGTATTGTTCCTCCTTTTTCTCAGATTTATTTCTTGTTCAATAACTGATTTTAAGAATATTATTTGTTATAATAGATTATATTGAGAGAATTAAATGATATGTATTTAAATGATTTTCTAAGGATAGTCCATTTTTAAAAATATCACACATGAGAAGAAGTTGTGACTTCTCTTTTAATATAATAGATGAGTTAGAGAGGTTGGCTTTAATTTGTATTTTTTAGGTCATGTTTCTAATATTTGTTCTAGTTAGGTTTGTATTCTGAATTTTTAGGTCTTGTTTCTAAAATTTCTGTTCAAGCAACCAATCAAAGAAAATCCTAAAATCACATGTTAATTAATTATATCTTTCGAATAATGCGATAATCCTCGTCAATTATTCAGGGATAACAATAAAGTATTGGGATAAAATATCTCCACGTGGCAGTTCTGGTCAACGATCTCTCCTTATGGCAAAACTCAACGAGATCACTGAATACAGATTGTTTGCAGTTTTGCGCACAAAATGTATTACAAAATCCATTGACTTGAATTGTTTTAACTTATTGTCGATAGATACAAATAAACATTTTGATATCTTCTTAGACTTTTCATCTTTCGTCATGCACTTGGTCTCTTACCTATCTAGATTCATCAATCTATACGATGACACTCCAATTCTCATAATTATTTTAAAACAATCTCTTAATCTTTAATTTCACTATAAATAAGCTTCATCAATGTTGCTACAAAATCACACTAAGCCAAATATATTCACTTTTACAGCTATCTATCCTTCATTAGATACATAGCTATGTCTGCGAGAGCTCATCCTACGGACGGTGATCTAAATCCGGCAACGGACGGTGGAGATCTTCCGATCAAATCGTTGCCTCACCGGCATAAAGTTGGTGTCCCACCAAAGCAAAACATGTTCCAAGATTTCATGTACACGTTCAAAGAAACTTTCTTCCACGATGATCCTCTCAGACAGTTTAAGGATCAGCCTAAGTCCAAGAAGTTCATGCTCGGTCTCCAATCTGTCTTCCCGGTTTTCGATTGGGGACGTAACTATAATCTCAAGAAGTTTCGTGGTGATCTCATTGCCGGTTTAACCATTGCTAGTCTATGTATTCCTCAGGTTAAAAGAAATATTCCCTCTCTTCCATTTTATTTGTCATTTTAGAAAAAAAAATTGTTTTAAAATAAATATCGTTTTATAATTTCAATTCATAATATATTAGTTTTATCTACTTTTTCATTTTTTATTAGTTAAAATGTGGTTACATGTATAGGTAATTATGTTTTTATTTGAAATATGTAAAATTAAATGATCTTTTAATTTGTGTGTACAAACTTAAAATGACAATTAAAATGAAACGGATGGAGTAATATTAATTACACTATTTACTTGTGTAACAAGCTATCTATATTCTTGCTTTCTTTCTTATGGGGTATTTTATTTGATGATTCCAGGATATTGGATATGCTAAGCTTGCAAATCTGGATCCTAAATACGGTTTATGTAAGTTTAATGACTCAACTCTGAGTAATCATCACAGTTTGACCTAGCTTGGAAAACAAGGGATAATTAATAAGTGAAATATAATTTAAAATGATTTTACAGATTCAAGTTTTGTTCCACCGTTGGTGTATGCATGTATGGGGAGTTCTAGGGATATAGCAATAGGACCTGTTGCTGTGGTTTCTCTGCTGCTAGGTACTTTGCTTCGAGCTGAGATTGATCCTAACACAAATCCTGATGAGTATCTCCGACTTGCCTTCACCGCCACGTTTTTTGCTGGTGTCACTGAAGCAGCCCTTGGCTTCTTCAGGTAAATTAATCTCTCACTCCTAGAGAAAAACTTGTTTTATTTGATGATCGATAAGGTTCTGAAGGTTTTATGAATTGTAGATTAGGGTTCTTGATTGATTTCCTTTCCCATGCGGCTGTGGTTGGGTTCATGGGTGGTGCAGCCATTACAATCGCTCTTCAGCAACTCAAAGGTTTCTTAGGGATCAAGACATTCACCAAGAAAACCGATATCATCGCTGTTCTAGATTCAGTCTTCAGCTCAGCTCATCATGGCGTAAGGATTCTTCTTTTGTATCTTGATTGATCCATTATGTAAAAGGTTACACTAATTCAATCATTTGGCTATGCAGTGGAATTGGCAGACTATACTCATTGGTGCATCCTTCTTGACCTTCCTTCTCATATCTAAGTTCATTGTAAGAAATAGTATATAATTTATTGAAATATCATATAGTTTTTTTTTTCTTTTTTTTTTTTGAGAAAGAGCTTAATATCATATAGTTTATACCTTTTGTTTTTATCTCAATCTGATATCTTTTGGCATGATGATGGAACAGGGCAAAAAGAGCAAAAGACTGTTCTGGATTCCAGCAATTGCGCCATTGATATCAGTTATCATTTCCACCTTCTTTGTCTACATAACCAGAGCAGACAAACAAGGAGTCCAAATTGTAAGAACTCACTCAACCTATTCTAAGTAGTTACTTGCACCGCAAGCGATTTGACTTTGTGTTAACATGTTTCTCATTGTAATGAAGGTGAAACACCTTGACAAAGGCATAAACCCTTCCTCTTTTAATCAAATATACTTTTCTGGCCATTACCTTGCTAAGGGCATTCGTATTGGTGTAGTAGCTGGAATGGTCGCATTAACGGTAAGTTCCAAATCAACAAGTCATATATTTCAATCCAGAGTCGTTCTAAGATTTTTTTAAAGGCATAAAAAATCAATATATTTTTTAACAGTTTTGGAGTCTATATCAATATATATTATCTCTTAAAAATTGGGGACCAAGGCTGATGTACCTAGAACATGTTTTGCTTAATCTCAAAAGTATTTGGCTATTAAGTAAAAATTTATATTTCAATAATCCACAGGAAGCTGTGGCCATTGGAAGAACGTTTGCTGCAATGAAAGACTATCAAATAGATGGTAACAAAGAGATGGTAGCACTAGGTGTTATGAACGTTGTTGGCTCAATGTCTTCTTGCTACGTAGCCACCGGATCGTTCTCAAGATCAGCTGTAAACTTCATGGCTGGATGTCAAACTGCGGTTTCAAACATCATAATGTCAATAGTCGTTCTCTTGACATTGCTCTTCCTCACTCCTCTCTTTAAGTACACACCAAACGCCATCCTCGCAGCTATTATCATCAATGCGGTGATTCCTTTGATTGATATCCAAGCTGCGATATTGATCTTCAAGGTCGATAAGCTTGACTTTGTGGCGTGTATGGGAGCGTTCTTTGGCGTCATCTTTGTTTCCGTTGAGATAGGGCTTCTCATTGCCGTACGTCTCACGTTACTTAAGCCCATGCAAACAATATAATTCCTTTAAAATCTAAATTTATTGATTTTTTTTTGTGTGGACAGGTCTCTATATCATTTGCGAAGATTCTCTTGCAAGTAACAAGACCTAGAACAGCGGTTCTTGGAAACATTCCGAGAACTTCCGTTTATAGAAACATCCAACAGTATCCTGAAGCCACTATGGTTCCAGGGGTTCTTACAATTCGTGTTGACTCCGCGATTTACTTCTCAAATTCAAATTACGTCAGAGAAAGGTAAGCCCTAAACAATGTTTTAACCTTTAGGCAAAATATGTTACTTGGTTCGCAAGAAGCCTTATTTGGAAACTTTTTAAAATTTACAGGATCCAAAGATGGTTACTAGAGGAAGAAGAGAAGGTGAAAGCAGCAGGCCTACCAAGGATCCAGTTTCTAATCATCGAAATGTCACGTATGTTAATTTTACTACTAATAAGTAATCCTTTCTTAATTAGCTATAGGCATGTTTGTTAACTTCACTATCATATTTTCAGCTGTTACGGACATCGATACAAGTGGTATCCACTCCTTAGAAGACTTATACAAATCTCTCCAGAAGAGAGATATCCAGGTAAACATACATAAACAAATATAGATTTTAATGTTTTATTTTATCTAAGCAGTTAAAGTGAATTAGTTGTAGAATATATTACCTGACTATAATTGTGCGTGTATAAACAGCTGATTCTTGCGAATCCTGGACCGTTGGTGATAGGCAAGCTACACTTGTCGCACTTTGCTGACATGTTAGGACAAGACAATATATTTTTGACGGTGGCTGACGCTGTTGAATCTTGCTGTCCAAAGATCTCCGACGAAGTCTGAAGTCCGAAGAAAAAAAAAAGAAAATGAAGATAATGACGAAAATCGAAGTATATTCAAAACCAAATGATGAAGTGTAAATTTGTTAAGTGTAAAGTTGATCTCTAAGTCCCACCTTAGCATCTTGTTGTTCAATTTTATAAATGAGTATAGATTTACTGAATTTCCATCAAGGCCATTTCAAATTCAAATTCTTATCCCCCCCCCCTTCTTTTGTTGTGTATGAGAGACAATGCGAGTATCACCAAATCTGAAATTTAAAGACCTTAAACATTTTTAGGTTAATTTTATTAAGAAAAAATTAATAAATATAACAGTTTTAATAAAAAAAAAATTAGAGGATAAAACGACCATTTCATCTAGTTGTCTAGAAGCGGTCCTGAATGTGAACAACTGGTGATGACGAAAGAAGCGTACAGAGGCTGAGAGAAACAATGGAAAATGAGATTCCGACAGATTTCAAGACTGTTGAGTTTAGAGAAGTTGATTTCTGCCAACTTTTGTATTAAAATATCATTGCTACTTAAACTTGTCTTAGTGTCTACAGCTTGCATCCTTTATACCAAATAAACGTGAACTAGTATCACTGAATTCAAGTCTAATTTTATAAATCAATGTTTCTAGCTTTTTTTAGTAAAAAAAGCTTTTTATGTAATTGTCTTGGCGTCAACTTCAGATTTATGTTAAAGTAAGAAAAGTGCATTCGCATATTATAGGAAGGACAATTTGGTTAACGTACTGATCAGATGTCCTGATTGATCTTGGTGTCATTATTATCATCGTTAATTGACAAACAATGTCAATAAAATATATATACTTATGAAACTCTACTAGTAAAATTGTGTGGACCAGATATTGAGCCCACTGGTAAAGAAGGTGACCCACTTTCAATGTCTGAGACTGGGACCAGTTTGGTTGGGTACTGTAGAATAAAACCTTTTTGACTCGCTTTGTGTCCACTTGTCCAATCAGTCATACCAACTCCTCTATTACCACCAAACTTCCACATCAGCTTCCCCTTTCACTTCCATTTAACAAAATTATAGTATTTGAATGTACGCAAAATTTAATTCAACTAGTCATACAAGTTTATATGTGTGTTATGAAGTATGAACTCTAAATCTCATGTTATATAAAAAATACTTAAATGAGTACATGCTTCTTTGTCTAGTTGTATTTGCTCTTGAGTTTTGTGTATTACATGATAACGTGTACCGCTTTAGCAATATTAGTTACACAACTATTTATGCTCAGTAACTTATTCACAAGTTTTGAAATAAACTCCAGATCATATCTCTCCCGGATAATAAAAACGAATCTCATATTTTCCTTGCAATAATTAGTTTTAGAAAAATGAAATATCTCTTCGGGGACTTTTGAGACCGACTATTTTGGTATGGTACAATGTGCCACTCTGTTTAATTTCTTGTTTCTTTTTCTATGGTGACAAGGCACCAACCAGAATAAGATTCTGTTGTGATTTTCGATCACAAAGTATTTTATAAGGAGATCAGAGCCTTTGAGGAGTATCTTCCCCATGCAACAATATGCTACATATAAAAAAATTGTTTGTGCAATTAAATGTTAAAATCTGGTGAGAGATGTGAGTCATGTGAGTTGGAGAAACGAGACTCTATAAAATTGCAAAGGGCAAAATGAATCAAACATTGTTGTCAAGAAGGGTGGTCCATACTTTATATAGCACAGAAGTTAGGAACCAAATAATAACACATCCCTTTCAATTTTCAATATTGAAGTTTTTACTGTTCGCATCAAATAATTTTTGTTACACCACCACACCATAGTAGTAGTACAACACATAGTACATGCAAAACGTTCAAAATAATTGTAGTATTCTGACGTGGCATTATTTTGAAATACGAATAAACAGTTCAAATTCAGTCCTAAGTTTGTGGTTCTTATTTATCTTCTCTATCTCTTCTCCTTAATTCCTCACTCACTCCCTCCTCTTTCTCTTCTCTCTCTCTAAGATTTACTCTCTTCAGCACACAATAATACGATGTTGCTTGGAAAGAGACAACGACCACCGATTAACAGAACCACGAGTCTGTCGGAGATAAATTTCGATCTAAACCTTCCTGCAGAAGAATCAGGAATATCACCAAACCAGCAGAGTCCAAGCCAAAACCTCATGGTTGGACCGTACGGTCCCAACGGTCAAGTCGTAGCAGCAGCCGTCGATCAACGGTTCTTAGCTATGGTTGCACCGAGAGGTAACTTAAGGAGACACTCAGGTGACTTCTCGGACGCTGGACACTTCTTGAGATCTTGCTCCCTCTGCGAACGCTTACTTGTTCACGGCCGTGACATCTATATGTATAGGTATGCATATATAATCAACTTTGGTCATAGTAAAATTTAAAACGTTACATATTTAATGATGAACCGCTATAATAGTTCTTTTTGGCGTTGTGAATGATTAGTAATGATTTTTTTTTTTTTTTGAGAAATGGCTGCTGTTAATTAGTGATTAGTGATGATTTTGTGTGATTAAAATGGCAGGGGAGATACAGCTTTCTGTAGCTCAGAGTGCAGGCAACAGCAAATGGCACAAGACGAGAGGAAAGAGAGAGGTAAACCGGCGAAGCACTCGGCGGTGGCAGCCACCGCAAAACCCGGCAAAGGAGGGAGAGCTGCAGCCGCCGTGTAATCCAGACATATATCCATATATTATGTGTGGCTTGCTATGTGTTTGAATATATGATTATGATGGTGTATTACTATTCAAAGCAGTGAGCGTTAATTAACATGTGTTAATCACTCTCGTGTCACACGCTTTTTACGAGAGATTAAATTTTACGAGTTTTGATCTATTTTGAAATAATAATCTAATGTATGTAAGACTTGTGTAATTTTCAAGTAATAAAAGCATTTCGAACTTATTCTTATGTTTGTCTTTATAATAGCATTTCAAGTTATTCCATTCTAACACATTGCTACTTTAAAAAAAAGTAGAGATTGCTGTATTTTTTATAGGAAAATTAGCAATTTTTTTTACTTTTATTCTGTGTTTTGAATAATGTTACTGTAGAGAAATATATTAGAGGAAATTCCATTTTATTATATAACTTTTTGTTTTATTGTAAAGATAACAAAATTCATTGGAGAGAGTTTCAAAGAGAAAAAAAATTAGATTAGTACAAGTTTACAATGAATTTATGTGGGCGAGATTGCAGTTTAGGATATTGAATCTAGATATTTAGAATCAACTATAAAAACAAATGAAATTAAGGATATTGGCAGTAGTAATTTTGTATCATGAGCTGGAGATCATCGGAGACTACGAAGTTTTTATTTAAAATAAAATAGAAAAGCAGCTTTAATTGATTAATTGGTCGTAGTTAGAACAAGTGTGTGGAGATAATATTCACTTTATTTTGTCTAAATAAAAAAATTATCATAAAGTTGCATATATATATATATATATATATATAGGTTGCTTTGTGATTACATTTTGTAGTAGCAAGTTGATATTAACACATTTTAACGTATTAAGCAAGTACCACTAGGCCAAATTGGCATGTGTCCCCATCAGATTTGGCTAACTATCTGAGCTCCGACGTCTCTTTGATCCCTCCAACCTCGCACATGCTCCTTAATTATTCTTTTACGAAACAATAGCTGTATCATTATGTTTTATTATTAAACAGTTAAATCAAAAGCAAGTCCCCGAGTTATAAAATAAAGATGGTTGGCATATATATGGACCAAAGAAGATAGTAAGAAACTTAAGGGTAACTACATGTTTTCTGTTTATTCATTGTTTATAATTAGTTAATTCACGAATTGCCAAATAAATTAGTAAGTTTCTTGCATTTAAGTGAAACACATTATCAAACCAGCACTAAATATACATTCATTATTAAATGTATGTATATGTATCTAGTTTGAATTATACACTTACGTGACAATTGTCTTTACATAACATAGAACTAAAACTAGACGTTGCAGTCTTGTTTTAAGCTTGAGCTTTCAGTAGAGAGATTAACCAGGATGCAGGTTTTCACGGAAATGATCATGCATGTGTCAAAAGAAAAAGTTAAGCCAGAAACTCAATATTTATTGGCTACCATATTATATAATACCAAAGTATGAGTCATAAATGTCTAAGTGTGGTATTTGTTTTTTATGAGGGGACAAGAAATGAGAAGTTGTCCCGTTACTCTTTGGTTCCTTCTACTTCTAATTTTGTAAGTATATTACTAAAAGTTAGTCTAAGTATGGGGGATAAGAATATTGAGTACACGTGCAAATATGCTCTCCATTAATTTTCAAGGTTAAGTACAACTGGGAAAGGCTAAATTTGTGGAGTATCTTATATTAATCTCAGTAGTGCTAACCATCTTTTAATTAAATTTTGATCAACTTAATCACACAACAAGCACGGCCGTAAGCTTCTTTCCGTTCGTATTAAGGCAACACTCTAAAACAAAACACACGTATAGTCTTTTTGCCTTTATGCCAAAATTTCATTTTCAGATACAAGTGGTGTTGGCCCATTTTATATATTACGGATAGAGTTGTTCCATCCATATTAAGCAAAGCAAGTGGGAACAGCTCATGTGGATGTCTAAGTCATGGTAACTGTTGATTTCATTCTTACTCTACACCTTAACAAGTATCTCATGTATGTGTATTAACACTTAGGAGTATACAATAAAACAAAATATACGCACTCAATTATTTTGATTCTTGATCTGATTTTAGATATTATACTCTCATACACTCCCCCACTCCACTTGCTTGGGTATAAAGGTCCCTTGTTTTTTTGTAGAATAATTTAAATACGAACTCTATTTAGTTTTATAACCACACACAGTACTACAGAATAGTTAGAATATGTATTGGAGTCGTGTAATTTTATAGTTTTTCTAACAAATCAATTTTTTTGTTTGACTAAATCTAACAAAGCGATTTGATAGGAGAGTAGGATGATTTTATTATTCCTTTTTTACAGTTGAATGATAAAACGTTGTTAGACGATGTGTTACAGGATCTTTTGATTTTCAATTTTTACCCTTAGAAATACACCTTACTACTAAACGAACTCATCTACATCTGATCTTTATATGGACTATGGGTAATCGTCATTGTTATCCTCTTCTCCAAAGCTGCTTTGGGTACCCGACTCTAATTTCCTCCTTTTGTTGTTTTTTCAACTTTGATTTTTTTCTAAATTATTTACTCATCAAATAGATAAGTCACATCACATTCACATGACCAATACCAACGTACACAACGTAAAGATATTTTTATTTTGACAAAAAAGAAGAAGAAAGTGTATTTTAATTTTTTTTAACTGACGAAAGTATTTTTCTTGGTTAGCAAAAATTTGGTTTGGTACGATAAAAATTTGATGTTTGCCACTAAATGTACATTGCATTACATGAGTAGTCATCAGTGTCATCATCATGCATGTGACTGAATAAACTTTGCCCAAACTTATTACATATACACTCACATTACATCGCGCAGTGTGTCCCCCCCCCCCTCCCCCCACCTTTTCTTTATTCCCCATATGTTCACTGCATCATAATTAGTTTAAACTTTTACTGCTGAAAAGGTTATAACAGAAAATACCCAATGTTTATGAATATTCATTTTAAATTTCGTAGGAGGCTATAAACATACAAATGTAGAAATGTATATCAGTATATGTCTCCATTTGTGTTTCTGTGATGAACTTTAGGATATTCCTGCATTGAGTAAATTATAAGGCTTTGTAAAGGCTAAAATTTGCTTGTGAAATGTAATATATATTTGAGTCACTTCGGCCCCATATTTACATAACCACTCAGTCCTGTCCAGTATAGCTAATGGGCCAAGAATTACAATCTCCTTGGGCTTTTAACCTAAATAATTATCGGCACCGTCGTTTTGGCCTTTTCCGCTTCTTCTTTTTAAATGATAAAACAAAACATTTAATTTTTGGATGCTTTCTTCCCATGTGAGCACCGACAAGACAGCAAAACAAGTAGCAACCACTACCATCCAGCTGCAATCACGCAAACGCACCGCCTTTTTTCGAACAAAGCGTTTAGAGCTCTTCCAATCATATACCGCCGCGTCATCATATTCTAACAGAAAATTGACTATAATACCCTTACTAATCTCACGCGCTTTCTATCTTCTTCCCCCTAGATTCTCTCCTCTCATCTCTGTCTTAAATTTCTTCACCGAACTCCTTTCCTTCCAAATCCACAATCTCTCTCTCTCTCTCTCTCTCTCTCTCTCTCTAACTCTCTTCTCGAAAAAAATGGCGAAACTAGTGATCTTGATGGTTCTCTGCATCTTACCAGCGATAGCCATGGCAGCGAAGGTGCCACGTATCGGGAAGAACACTCTTGTCGTTCAAGGCATCACTTACTGTGACACATGCAAGTTCGGTTTCGAAACTGCTGAATCCTCCTACGTTCTCCCTGGTACTCTCTCTCTCTCTAGATCTCTCTTTAGATTCGTTAGATCTGAATACTTATGTCTCTAGATCTGACGGTTTTACAGGTGCGACGGTGAAGCTTTCGTGCAAAGACAGGAAGACGATGAAAGAGATCTACACAGACGTGGCTAAATCGAACAGACACGGGAAGTACATGTTTGTTGTCCACGAAGACCATAAAGACGAGATGTGTGACGTCATGCTTGTGAAAAGTTCCGACAAGGGTTGTTCTAAAATCTCTAAGGGGCGTGAACAGTCACGTGTGATATTGAACCATTACAATGGTATCGCGTCGCAGATTAGGCATGCTAATAACATGGGGTTTGAGAAAGATGTTACTGATGTGTTTTGTTCTGAGTTGATTAAGAAGTATCAGGTTGATGAAGATGAGGTTTGAGATTATTAGATCTGTTTCTTTATTGATGTTATGTGGTCTGATGTTTTTTAATATTTATTTGTCTTGGATGATGATGATGACTCTGTTTGTGTAAGCTTTTCTTTATAATTGATGTGTTTTAACTTCCCTGCTTGGGAGGTTCTTTAATATTTATTTAATTTTCTTAGTGTGGTTTTATTAAAGCTTAAGATATGTATATGCCATCTGAACTTGTAAGACTATGGAGATTATGAACCAAAACATAAGTTGGAATGAAATCTAAGGAGAAAAGATGACATTTTCAATTAAATTGATGATTTTTACAGCACTATAATTTTTGGAATTTGTATATGTTATGAACTAAACTAATACTGGTTCTGTTTTGAACAAAAAAAAAAAAAATACTGGTTCTGTTAATCAACATTATAGCAATAGATTAAATCGGACTGGGCCTAATTACAAACCTTCCCAAAGCCTCAGAGTCCAGTCTTTGGACTACAAACTCATCTCCCCAATTTGATTTGGGTATCAAACAAAACCTTTTAATGGACTTTGGTGGGCCTAGTTATTTCTCATTTCATTATATGTTAGGCTACTGAAACCTCACTTATATGATAAGAAAAAAATTGTGTAAACACTACTGAGAAAAACTGTTAAGCAAACCAAAGAGGCAAAGAGGACCTCAGGTTTGGTATGTAACCCTACCAAGACACCAAAGGTTGTTTTGTTGGACAAAAACTTTAAACAAGTTGTTAATTAAACATTGACCAACCCCAATCAGTTACTAATACAACATCACCAAACTCAATATTCCATTACTGTTTTAACTTATTTAGCAAAAAAGCTTTGTAATTTCAATTGCCTTTTATTCAAGAGTATAACATTTTTTTAATGTTTATTCGAATTAACAAAAAGACATAAAAGGAAACAAAAAAAAGAGATGTGAAGAAAATGCCAAAAAAAGACAGAAAAACAGAACCAGCAAATAGCCAAATGTCAAACCTAGTTTGGTCGCCGTCAGAAAAAAAACTTCAGATACGTAAAAGAAGAAGAAGAAGAAAAAAGAGTCAAAATAAAACCTAATAATAATTTTTAAAAGCAACCCTTTTCTTTTGTTGGCGAAATCGATTGCTTGAAACGCCACACACATACACAACAAACAACCCCTGGCGTCGTGTTTCCATTAACTTCTTTTGTCTGAGTCGTCTTTATTAAAGGGCTTAAACATAAACGAGAGATTATTTCATTTCTGTTTCAAATCCTATAACATAAATCTTCAATTTTCCTGTCTGAGATTTAGTTTGGTCATATACCGACGTGTAGTAATTTCATCTTCTGTTTTATTGTGCTTCTCATCTTCATCCTCGGTTTCATCGTCACAGCATTTAGACAGAGGTATGTTTGTTTCCTGTCTTATTGGATTTTCATTTTAGTTATGTATAACACTAAAACAAACTTTGTGAAATGTGATTTACCAATTTTTGGTTGCGTTAGGAATTTAATTAATCAAATTAGAGACTACTTTTGATTACTCTCCTAAGCTATTATTAAAGTTAAACCATTTTTTGATGTAATGAGTTTTGCAGAAATGGCTACCGTTGTGTGTCACCAAGCTATTACTTCTCACAGACCTTCTAACAGCTTCAAAGCTTCTCACTTTCCTAAGGAGCCTCTTAATGTTCCTATCAAACTCAGACAAAAGCAATTCAAGATCCAAGCAACTGCATCTCAAGCTCCACTTCTTGACCCTGTCTTGTCTCCTTCCAAGAACATCCCTCAATCTTACAAGAAAAAATCAAGTAATGCTGCTCTCCTCGTACTCATCTAATATAAGTGATAAAAAAACCATTATTGAATCAAGTTTTTTTCATGTGTTTATTTATTCAGATGAAGCCTCTTTGATACTAATTAGGCATGGAGAGTCCTTATGGAACGAGAAGAATCTCTTCACGGGCTGTGTTGATGTTCCATTAACTGAGAAAGGTATTGCAGAAGCTATCCAAGCAGGGAAGAGGATCAGCAACATACCTGTTGATTTGATCTTCACTTCTTCTCTTATCCGTGCTCAGATGACTGCTATGCTTGCCATGACTCAACATCGCTGCAAGAAGGTTACACAAACACATTTCAAATAATCATTGCTCTCTTTGTTTGTTCTTGAAGTTGACTTGGTAGTAATGATGGTTCCTCTAGGTTCCAATCATTTTGCATGATGAGAGTGAAAAGGCGCAGACCTGGAGTCATGTTTTCAGCGAAGAAACTAGGAAGCAATCTATCCCTGTTATAGCTGCTTGGCAACTCAACGAGAGAATGTAAAGAAAAAACATATCTCTAGCTTCTCTTGTGTTTCTTTTAGGCCTGTAGGTTTTTGGTTAGTTCGGTTCAACATAAATTTTACCGAATTGACCCGGAATTAAGTTTGGTTCGGTATTCGATTAGTTTGGTTTTTAAAAATCCTACAAAGTTTTTGACTTAAGTTATATATTTTGGTTTAATTTTGCTAAAACTTCAAATAATTTTGGTTAATTTCAATTATTTCGGTTTGAATTTTGGTTAGTTTGGTTCGAGTTTTGATATATTTTGGTGATAGTAGTTTTCTCTGTTTTTTTAAAGAAAACTGAAGTAACCGATTGTTGAACCGAAAACCAATTTTCTTTTAAGAACCTATCGAACCGAACTAACCAAAAATTTCGGTTCAGTTCGGTTCAAAATCCCAATCCTAGTTTATTTCTTTTGACTATTCTTTGGTCTTGAGTCAGGTACGGAGAGCTGCAGGGTTTAAACAAGGAAGAAACAGCTGAAAGATATGGAACACAACAAGTTCATGAATGGCGTAGGAGTTACCACATTCCTCCTCCTAAAGGAGAGAGCCTAGAGATGTGTGCTGAGAGAGCAGTGGCTTACTTTGAAGACAATGTATGAATCAAAAAAAAAAATCATTTTCATTCTTGTTTTATTCTTTACTTATATGTAATGATTTATGCAGATTCAACCAGAGCTTGCGTTTGGGAACAATGTGTTGATTGCTGCTCATGGGAACTCGTTGAGGTCTATCATTATGTATCTTGACAAGTTAACTTCTCAAGAGGTAAAAAAACAAAACCGAATTGAGTTTTTTTTTTTTGTTTTGGTAGCTTGGTTTTTGCTAAGAGTTTTGTTCTGGTTCTTTAAGGTTACAAGTCTTGAGCTATCTACGGGTTTACCCTTACTATACATCTTCAAAGATAGGAAGTTCATGAGACGAGGAAGCCCTGTTGGTCCTACAGAAGCTGGTGTCTATGCTTATACTAAGGTACAACCAAACCAAACAAGTTGTTTTGATCGTTTCTTATGAGTTTTGCTCACGTAATGCTTCTTGGTTTCAGAGATTGGCGCAATACAGACAGAAGCTTGATGAGACTCTTAACCAATAGAAGATCTTTCTCTCTTTTGTTGTCTTTCATTATCATCAATAACATTTTTATATTATGTACTTGAACTTGATACACAACGAACTACGAAGGTTGGTCTATATGTTTTTAGATTCAGACATTAATTGTAAGAGGGAGCTCTGAGTCTCCAACGGTTTAGTACTTTCCTTCTTCAACAACCATGACTCCAGCTTCATTAGCTCTGCTCAAATGTACACAAAGACCTATCTCAAACTCCATCTCAGTTTTCTCTCCATTACTTAACACAATGCTCTTGAACCCGAGAAGCTGTTTCTCAGCTAGTTTCCCATCTTCTCCTCCTCCTCCTCGTCTCTCGTGCCTCACAAACGTCAGCACACAGCACTGGATGTTTCCTCGTAATGTGTACATTTTTGGTTCTTATTCTTAGTCAGTTTGCACTTCTAGGCCTTTGCTGTTGGGCTTTTGAATCAATGGCCCACTAATATAAATGCGATTTGTTACTTTTCATCTTTCCCGGTTTGGGTTTTGGGTCCAAAAGATTAAATTAAGTGATTTAGTGTTCTGGTATATGAAAGAATGATTAGTTAAGATTATGTTTAGAGAAGCAAAACCCAAAAAATAGTTTGGTTAGACATAAAGATCGTTAGGTGACTGATGGTGGAGACTTTATCCCCAAAATGGAATTAAAATGTAATGAAGGATGTGTCATGTGTGTGAGCCACTGAATCAAATGTTAAAGCTTTTAGGAAACAATTCTCATTTTACACATAATCTTCTTATTCTTTTTTTTTTTTTGGTAACTGGCTTTCCTTTCCTTCTTATTAGAAATAAAAAGAGAGTCATGGATTATATTTCTTGGATAACTTTTGTTTACCTTTGAGTAGTATCATATTCTCTCCGTTTCATAATAAGTGTCACAATAGATAATCTTTTTCGCTACAAAATAAGTATCGTTTTTGGTTCTCAATGCAAAATTTATTAATTTTATTATATAATTTATTTTTCTATTGGTTGGATTATGGTTAAGGATATAGTTAACTGTGTTTTTATATAGAAAATGTACAAATTAACGATTTTCTTAATTCGTATGCAAAAAAATAAAATGACACTTATAATAAAATAAAGTGAGTATTGTGTATTAAAGCTGCATTATTATTTCTAAGGAACTTTAAATCCTTAATAAAGACAAGGAGCAACTCTTCTAAGATGTATTCTTTTCATCGAATATAATTACTTAATAGTGGTGGTGTTACAATTCAAGTTGAGAACTATCTCTATTGATAGCAACAAGGTTATACAATCCAAAAAACAATGCACTAATTACAAAACTTGCTGTACTACTAATAGTTAAGTTTCTTTTCTAATGGAGAAATGGACCATAGATATCACGCCAAGACGATAGTAAAATCTAAGAAGAAAAGGGTCAGTCATTATATTGAACAAAATCTGAAGGCGACAATTCACCTAAAAATTTCACATGCCATTGATCTTCCACATTAAAACGACGTTCAACTGCTCTGAAAACGACGACACGCAGTTTTAATTCTCTGCACAATCTTTCATTCAGTCAAAACTTCAATTCCTACTTTCTATTTGTATCCCCAAAGTGGATCAAAAAGTCTTTAAATAACCATATTCATTTAAGAGATGTACTGTTTACTATGTGTTGAATATAATGAATCAAATGTAATTTTAAGAATTTATAGTAGTGGAGTTGGTTGCTTTGTTTTTATCTGACAAGGATAAAAGAAGATATTTCCCAAAGACATAATAAGTGGAGTTACAGTTCAACTTGGACCACTGATTATGAACACGTGACGTAAAAGTAACGGTCGTTGTGTTTCAAAAGTCTGACGGAAACCGCGTGAATGAGATAAAAAGGAACTTTTCAAAGTAACGATGAGATGGACACGACGCAATCCATGCCACTCTTCCTATTGGATGCTACCATTTTCCTTTATCCCTTACTTAAGTTTTGTTTCTTCTTATAGAATTTTGAGGTCTTAATAATGTCTTATTTTCTTGCCCTAGAAAACAAAAAGAAAGATCTTTTTATCTTTTACTATTTTGATGAATAATTCAGCATAAACACAAAAATTCGATCGAATTTTAATTATCAACGATGACAAATAAACGCTTTTGGAAAAAAAAAATGGTAAACCATTCTCCGAAAAGAGAATGTGAAAACCCCGATGACCACATGCTGTGTTAATCTGAAAGTAGACGGATTCGAACTCAGGTTCCGTAGAATCCATGGAACGCCATGCTACCACCCGACCACAGACACATGGACAAATATATTGGAAAGCCTTGTCTTTTAACATATTTTAAGTTTTTAACACTTTTTAGTTTGGAGAATACCTAATCTATTTGTTCATTGTCAAGTATATATCATATGTCGACTATGTGTATAGATGAATAATATATATTTGTCCTCAACTATATTCTTATTGTTTTGAACCCACCAAAAACGTTATAATGAATCTTCGGCTATTTCCGTATTTTGGGTTTAGAACTGATGTATAGATGAGGCGAACGTGTGAACATTATCTGAAGGATGACAAATCTATTATTAATAGCAATCCTAATCCCTTATATATTAATCCTGAAGCATTCATAAATGCACAACCTTTGAGAGTATGGTTACGTATTAAGCCCACAGAGCTTCTCAGCCTTAATTTTTTAATGGACCAACTTTGCTAGAAATGAAATAATGTAACATTTAATTTCTTCCATTTAGGACTATAATATATAGACATTTTTAAGAGACCAACTTTGCTATGTATAAATCAATATATTTTCTTTCCTTAAATAAAAGCTACGGAATTACCTAATATGATTAACATATATATGTAATTAATGATTATGAATAATACATATTTTTGTGTCCTCTCTCTTTTTTGTTTAATTTTAAATTATTAAAATAAATTAAACAATCACATTAAATATATAATAAAAAATTAATTTTTTTATTATAGGTTATATTTTTATTTTTGTAAAACGACCATAAATAACTAAAAATAGTAAAATCCGACATTGAAAATTTTATGATCAATGGTTTAACTTCGTTTTCTCCAAACAAATACAAATTATCATAAATCGTACTTCATGTACTGACATATGATAGATTTTAAAGATAACTTTGTTTTCTCCAAACAAATACAAATTAGAAAATAATGAATTTTGTTTTAATGCATACCTACTTCATGTACTGACATATGATAGATTTTAAAGATATCTGGGAATTTAATTTTTCCCCTTTCTACAGAAATTACAGATTTTATATTGGTAAATCCACTAAAATAAGAGAAATGTGAAGTTTTATTAAATTATTCATTAAACTATTATAAAATGATACACATGTACCATGAAAATAAGTTTAAAATACATTATTAAAAATATACAATGTGATTAGGTATATTTAATCATTATGAAAAAGCTAAAACTTAAGTATATAAAATTTATCAAAAAAATCGATCTTTTTGTAGGGGTTAACCCACAGATTTCAAGAAAAATTAGAATTTTTTTTTGTTTTAATGCATAAAATCATCATGCACTGACATAGAATGAAGACTAAAGAGGTTTAAGACCTTATGTGTTCCGTTTATATAGAAAATTGAGATTTTATAAGGGTTATTAAACTTCTTAGGACATATCTAAATTTTAAAGAAATTACTTGTGGGAAAATTAGAAATAACGTCCATGTACAATGTAATTATGTTTATAATACATTAATATATATATATTTAGAGTGTGGTTAGATATTTAAAAAAAAAAAAATTAATCAAGCTAAACGTTAGTATTTATTGAATTTTATTGGACAAAACTTTATTTTTTAAAGATAAATTAGAAAATAATGCATTTTGTTTTAATGCATACCTACTTCATGTACTGCAATATGATAAATTTTAAAGATATCTGGGCATTTAGTTTTCCCCCTTTCTATAGAAACTACAGATTTTATATGGGCTAGTCGATTAAAATAGGTGAAATATGAAGTTTTATTAAATTATTCATTAAACTATTAGAAATGATACACATGTACCATGAAAATAAGTTTAAAATACATTATTAAAAATATACAATGTGATTAGGTATTTTTAATCATTATGAAAAAGCTAAAACTTAAGTATATAAAATTTATCAAAAAATCGATATTTTTGTAGGGGTTAACCCACAGATTTCAAGAAAATTAGAAAAACATAAAATTTTTGCTTTAATACATAAAAACATCATGCACTGACATAGAATAAAGATTAAATAGGTTTAAGACGTTATGTGTTCCGTTTATATAGAAAATTGAGATTTTATAGGGGTTATTCCACTTTTTAGGACATATCTAAATTTTAAAGAGATTACTTGTGGGAAAATTAGAAATAATGTCCATGTACCATGTAATTATATTTATCATACATTAATATATATTTAGAGTGTGGTTACATATTTTTTCAAAAATAAATTAACCAAGCTAAACGTTAGTATTTATTGAATTTTATTGGGAAAAACTTTATTTTTTTAAAGATAAATTAGAAAATAATGCATTTTGTTTTAATGCATACCTACTTCATGTACTGACATATGATAGATTTTAAAGATATCTGGGCATTTAGTTTTCCCCCTTTCTATAGAAACTACAGATTTTATATGGGCTAGTCCACTAAAATAGGTGAAATATGAAGTTTTATTAAATTATTCATTAAACTATTAGAAATGATACACATGTACCATGAAAATAAGTTTAAAATACATTACTAAAAATATACAATGTGATTAGGTATTTTTAATCATTATGAAAAAGCTAAAACTTAAGTATATAAAATTTATCAAAAAATTGATATTTTTGTTGGGGTTAACCCACATATTTCAAGAAAAATTAGAAAAAATAAAATTTTTACTTTAATGCATAAAAGCATCATACACTGACATAGAATGAAGATTAAATAGGTTTAAGACGTTATGTGTTCCGTTTATATAGAAAATTGAGATTTTATAGGGGTTATTCCACTTTTTAGGACATATCTAAATTTTAAAGAAATTACTTGTGGGAAAATTATAAATAACGTCCATGTACCATGTAATTATGTTTATAATACATTAATATATATTTAGAGTGTGG